GGTGCGCGGTGAGATTGATGATGTTCTTAATGATGTTCCTTGTGATTGCTGATGGCGCATAAAGAAATTCTTTGATGATATGCTTGGAGAAAATCGATTTCCAAATGAAGCATGCAATTCTTAATCGAAAAAGAAATGTTAATAGAAATCTTGATGAAACTATGGACGAGGGGAGGGAAGTGGGTTGCTTATCACGTTTCCAATGTGCGGTATTACCGAAAAACGAATAGAAACAACAAATTTTCTCTTTTCTGATGCTTTGATTATTTGTTTTGGTTTTGATTTTTGTGTATACAGTATATGAAATGTTTACGGAATCATCATTAATTAATTAATACCGTATGTTGTCTTTCCGAGACAAACAAATGGTAAACTAAAATCCACCTCGAGAAAACCAGTTTTTTTTTCCCTAACCAGAATATGCATAAGCAGGGACCGGCGTGATAAAAGCAACAACACCCCGAAGAAACTGAAGAAGTAAGCTTGGAAAAAACGTGGCGTGGCAGGTCAATAATGGAAATAGGTTTTGGTCGGAGCAAAAAAAAAGATGGTCGAAAACAGTCATCAATGTTAATAATGTTAATGCTAGCCTCATCGATGGATGGATATGCTTTTGGCGTATAATTGTTCATTTTTGTGTATCTCGAGTACGCATATGTCATTTACTCTATGCGTAGTTGTCAAACCTAGTACACACCTTAATTGCAGTAACCGTTGCACAATGCGAATAAAAACAATAGTAAGAAAAAAATTCACACTCGTTTCACCCATCCCACTCAATTCGCACTGCTAAAACGCGTCAAACAGACACAATTCGTCCGAGAATACAGTATTTTCAGACGACAAAAGGAATCAAGTTGATCACGCGTTTTAGGATAAGGTTCGGATTTCCTAATTGACGGTCACATCTTTCTCGTGACAATCATGGCAATCGGAAGGAACAAATCGTTAATAATCTTTCACCTTACACCACACGGTTTTAACCATTTTCACGGCCATTGAATCCTCAGTCATTAATTACCGTATTTCACGCACGTACGGTATATGCACGCGTAAGGTTTTTTGGCTTTTGTGTGAAAGACAATAAAATTATGAATTACCGACTTTTCTCGTAGGCACGCACACCTGGGTAATTCTTTTCGAAGGCGGACAGGGATTTTTCGGTCATTGTAATTGTGATCCTAAAATTTACATTGTGTATGTATTGTTTAAAAGTAGGAACCGAAAAAATCATATCTAGCATTTTTGCTGCCTTCAAAAATAATTACCCACCTACGTATCTGTGTTCCGTTAATGTCATGATTGATAAGCTTAGTGCATACGTACACTACGTCGATTCCAATGAGATTCCTAATATGTATCGTACTCTGAATTTTTTCCCACAGATCTCCTTTACTGGAAAGAAGGCGACAAAAACATTGGTCATAAGCACCACATTGATGGGAAAGTCGTGATTCCACCGCTTGCCTTCATCTCTTTCATAAAATTTTTGCCAGAAGATCGTGAATTCATTAATCCTTGGGAATGGGATTTCTTTCTCTTGTCAATTCGATTACCATATCCGGATAAGTGAAAAGGCGCATCACCAGGGTCGATTGATCATTGATTACTCATGTAAGGCTAATAATAATTTAAGCCATGCATCCGCTGAAGTCTGATAGTCTGATGTGACAAATCGACATTCGCAACAAGAATCAAGTTTAAGAGAAAAAAGCTAGGACGTATGACGGATGTCTCCCAATATGGTGTATTATTTATGCACCGTTTTTCTGTTTGCAAGAAAAACTATTTTTTAAAGGATACTGAGTAGATCTTTCGATGAGTGAAATCACCTTGCGTTGAGATATCAGCAACTTGGGGATGCAGTGGATGCAATTGGTTATCTTCGAGAAGTATATGTGTATGTATGTACACATACGTACGTTTTGCATTCAAAAGCTCTCATTGTTCAACGTTTGCTACTATGAGCTATGAGATGCACATTGTCTCGAATTAATACCGTAGACCTCGGGTGGCTGAGGTTTTTTTAATTTCCATTTACCAAATGAACTGTAACACACCAATAGTAAATATTGTTGCACGTTCCTGTAAAGAAAAGAATCGGGATCCTTTCATGCGAATTCCGGAAAAAATGTTAAATACTAGGGTTTTATGATTCCGTAGGTATGTGGATATTTGATGCTCAGGTTTCAGTCATCCACGAACTCACATACCTCTACACTCCTTCAACAACTTTGCATAGCAAACGCGTTGTTCGTTCAACTAACTATTCAGTGAGATACGCGCGTTCTCTTTTTACTGTAAATCTATTACGCAATCGTGAACTCAAAGAGGCAAGCGTCGGGATTCCCTTTAAATAGTTTAGGGTCTGCGTCAGCTCAAATCACTTGAATATTTAAAATTTCATCATTTCCATATGCCCTGATTGTTCAATTTGGTTCGTTATTTTGTTTCCATATAAAGTAAAAATAGTGAAATACGATTACAATGAAAAATTCCATCTCTATTGTATTTACAATGGTCAACTATACATCCAATTTTTATATGTACCGTATATAATATGTATAGCACTATATAATAAAAGATAAGAGAACAACTCGCGCATGCCTTTATAATTTACTGTATATGGATATCATTACATGCAAGTCTCTTCTCCATTTTTTATGGCATGTGAAATACGCCTTGGATCTGAATATTTGGTGATCACACCACCCTTCTCAGTCAAAGCGCGTGTAGATACTGTACACCCACAGTTTCTCCACGAACGACAACAAACATTCGCCGTTGGTGATTGAACCGTTTTTTTTGCAACGAATTTGATGGGTCGAAAGCTGGTTTAAATCAGGTTAACGGAAATGCATTACTATGATAATCTGTACGTGTCTAATCGACGTACGTATGTGTGGTGTGTGGAGTCGATCTAATCTGTAATTCATTTTCACGCACATGCATTTTCATCAATATAAAATAAATGGGTTGACCTTTGACGGAAGACCATGCGGGACGAAAATTGTCGCGAAGAGTTATAAATATAATTCTCATTTTAAGCTTATCACGCGTCCTACTTATGGTCATATCAAAACTTATAACTTGGATTACTAAAAGCATCATTCATGTTACACGAATAATTATTTTTTAAAAATAAATTTCAATATAAGATACATTTTAAAATATGCAAACATAAAATAAAAACTTGTAAAAAATCATATTTATTTAATTTTTTTTTTTAAAAAATAGATTTTGAAATTATTTAAAATAAATTTATATTGTATCTTAAAAATCAATGTGTCATTTATTTTTAATAAAAAAATTTTTTAAAACAATATAAGGGAGGCAGGGGTATTATGACGAAGTTAAAGTTTCTAATATAAAAACTTTTTTATTTATTTTTATAAACTCACAAATATTTATAGTACTAATTAATGCCATATTTACAATAAAACTAATAAAAAAAAAAAATAAAAAATAAATGAAAATTAGTCAAAAGATCATTTCTCGTGCAACATACTTTAAAATGAAGTTATAAGTAAAGAGGGGTATTATGACGAATTTGATTTTCACTTTTTTCACTTTTTTTTGACTTGTTCTTTTTTTTTCGCAAGGTTTAGCTCTCGTTCGGCTTTTCTTTGAGCTGCTATTTCTCTTTTTTGAGCCGCTATTTCTCTTTTTTGAGCCGCTGCTTCTTTTTTCTGAACCACTATTTCTTTTTTTCGTTTTTTTTCTATGACCTTTTGTTCCGCTTCCTCGTTCAACCTTTTTAATTGGTGTAAACTTTCTTCGTTAGTTAAAAGCCGAGCAAATGGAAGTGTCTTTCTTTTTTTTCTAGGAAGAAACAACGTAGAGTTCTCGGATTCAGATTTATTCTCTGAAATTGCTTGGAAGTTTTGAAATTGCGGTTGAGAAACTGGATACTTAAGAGCTAAACGTAACGCACACGTTCCAGGATTTTTATAGGTATTTAATTCTTCAACCTGAGTTTTTAACACATTATTCTCATTTCTAAGTGCAATAATTTCTTCTTTTAAATC